GCTCCAAACGGACACGGGCGCAAATACCTCTGCCACGAATGAGCGCGATCTTCTATGTGATTACACTCCATTCATAGACCCGGTGCAAGTGGGAGTATTCTCATCCGATGAGACTCCGGATAATATACTATACGCATATGGAGAGGGCTATATGAGGATCATCTCCGACCAAGGAACAGTCATGCGTTGGCCTACACTGTATACACCAAAATCTACCGGCACAGTAATATCACCGGACCACTACCAGCGTGTACACAAATTCTACGCATTCATACAGGAAGGACGTGCAAACAGCAAAGGAGTACTACGATTCATAAACAAGCTCAACCATACTATTGAATCCATCCAAACGATACAAACTAACAATGGTCTTTGGTACACTACCAACAAGCTCCTTCTTTCTAACCGACAACAGGATGAACATAGTGCGGGGGAACTCCGACGCTTCCACAAGAAAACAGGAGAACAAACCAGGCAAGTATCCGAAATAAATGCGACACGAACACCCGAAACAAAGACCTGGTCGACTGGTCTTTCCAAAGCTCTAAAGAACTTAGAGCTCTGGCACCAGCGATACGGCCATGTATCGCCCTCAACACTCGTCAAAACTCAACGTGTGGTCGATGGCATGCCCCCCATACCCTCGTCCACACCTTTCTTTCGCTGTCCTTTCTGCGAAAAGAGCAAACTAACAAAATATGGTGGAAAGTCTAAACCACCCAAAGAAAACTTTATTCCCATGCAATCCTTACACATGGATCTAGCATTTGTCAGCGGCCCCCCAAACATTAAAGGCATTCTTCAGTCCAATGAAAAACCACTACCGACACTAAAGAAGAGCAGGCACGGCCATATAGGCTTTCTAACCATTATTGATGTAGCAACAAGAGCCCTATGGACATTCCCCATTAAATCAAAGGAACCACCCGTACAAATAGTGGACAAGTTCCTAACCAAACATGGAATACAACACACGGAGCCAAGCAAGGCCATCATTACCACCACAAACGACGGCTACCTGGCTCGATCCAAGGCTTTTCGTAACGTCGCTACGAAACATCAGTACGACCTATCCGCCGAAGACAAGGATCACTTCATTCACCTCCTACCCCAACACTTGGACTGCACGATCATGACGGATGGTGGAGGAGAACTATCAAAATCATCTAACTTCAGAGATACCATTAACAAACATGGATACACTAACATCACCACAGCCCCGGACGCCTCTTCTCAAAATGGAATGGCCAAGAGACCACACAGAACACTAAAAGAACGCATACGATGCCTCCTTTATGCCTCAGGACTTGGAACTGAATACTGGACAGATGCCCTTCTTCATGCTACATGGCTATACAACAGGACATACCACGAAGCCATTAAAATGACACCACTACAATTATACACTGGGAAAGTACCACTAGTTGATAATCTAATTACATTTGGCTCGAAAATCACAGCAAAACGCCCAGGAACACGTCCAACAACCACTCATCCCTGGGCCTATGATGGCATCTTCCTGGGCTATGGCCCCACAACAGACAACATTAAATACTTCGATATACACACTGGAACAGACAAAACTGCACGGCATGATTCAAAAGATGAGCTGCAATACGGCGACAGCCCACAGAACAGATCCCCGGCAGCATCTCACCTCCTTGAAACCTTCACTGAAGGGGCCCATCACAATCACTATACAAATAAACCCCCGGAACCCACTGAACTCACCTTTAAAGAACCCCGCCAACGGAATCCCAATGAAATCATCCAGGAGATCATAAATGATTCCCCTCTATCCTACACAACAGCAGCAGCTGCCAAAATCCATGCCCAAATCAACAGGACCAAATTCGAACGCCCCAATATTACAGCCCTTGTCCCAGAACTGGAAACACTCGATATCTCCACCAACATATTCATGAAGGAAACTTCCCATACACTCCCACTCAAAAACACCAACACAATTCACCCAACCATGGGATTTGTGGTCTCCTCTCACCCTGATATATCCAATGCAATGGAACTATCTTCAATCCAAGTTGGCTCTATTGCCCACACTCGCATTAGGGGATGGAAGAGACGCCTACGAGGAACCATCATCACCAAGGTCGATGATCATCCAATTCATACACGACAGGACATCATTAAGGCCATCCAACATGCAAAGGCAACACATCGGCTCTATATCAAATTTACCTTTGGATCACTTACAGGCTTTGCTATGAGTGGTGAAGGAACACCAACACTTCAAGCAGACCAACTCAATGTAATTGCCCACCATCTCCATCATCTCAACCACAACCAAGACCTATGGCCAGATAAAGATAACTGGCCACTTCCAATAGACTCACCGGAAACAGCCACTGAACAGCTGCGGATCTCAAAACTCACCAGAACCAAGCTACGCGATACACCACAATGGGATGGATTCTTAAGCTCGGAATGGAAACAATTAAACCGATACCACAAAGTAGGAATGTTTGGTGACCCAGTAAAGGCTGACGATAATATGACTATTCTTCCATGGGTCTGGACATATATTGAAAAAGAAAACCCTCTCACAGGAATTAATGAACCAAAATCTAGAGGCACCTGTAATGGAGGCAAAAGATACGGCAAAGCGGTTACATTAGCTGAGACTTATGCAGCATGTGTAGAACAACCAATACACAGACTAACATGGGCACTCTCAGCAGCCCTCAACCTCAAATGTATTGGATATGACGTAGGCAATGCATTCGCTGAAGCACCCGCACCAAAATCCCCATTCTATATGAAAGTTGATGCGCCCTTTCACCAATGGTGGACAGAATGCCTTCACCGTCCACCAATCCCATTCGGCCATGTCATCCCAATTAGAAAAGCTCTGCAAGGACATCCTGAGGCACCCAGACTCTGGGACAAATATATCTCCGAAATACTTATTACAGACCTGGGATTCAAACCCACAACACATGAGCCCTGTCTTTACTATAAACACGATGATACTGGCCTCACGCTCATTCTTCGCCAAGTTGATGATTTCCTCATAGCCAACACAGATGAGACAGTATGTGATGCAGTACGAGCCCGCATCCAAGCCCGCATGACCAATCCTCTTAATGTGCTTGGCACCATCCGCAAATTCAATGGTATCCATGTTGAACAGACACGTTTATATAACCATCTTCACTGCTGTACATATATTGAAAGAATAGCCCATCACCATGGCTGGACACTTAAAACAACAAGCAAAATACGGAAAAGACCAACTCCCATGAAAGAGGATTCAACATACCAAAAGAAGATTCAACTCGAAGAAGGACCATCTGACCCAATCGATGCACTAAAGTTGCAACAATCGGAGGGCTTTAATTACCGACAATGCATTGGCGAACTTATATATGCACTCACAATTTGCCGTATAGATATCTCCATTGCAGTCATCACACTCAGTCAACACTCACATAACCCCGCTAAAATCCACTATGAGGCAGTGAAACACCTATTTCTATATCTGCTGGCAACTAAAACAGAAGGCCTTACATACTGGAGACCGGAACCACGTACTGATCTCCCCGATAAGCCTCTCCCCATTCCATACACCAACACGGCAATCCTATCCAAATTCTACCAAACACGGGACCCCCTCCAACTGCATGGCTCATGCGATACGACATGGGCCTCTGATAGATTAGAACGGCGATCTATGGGGGGTGTAATCATGATGATGGCTGGAGCTGCAGTATACTACAGAACCAGGCTCCAACCAACAATAGCCCAAAGCTCTACAGAAGCTGAATTCACCAATATGGCAGATGCAGGAAAAGCTGCTCTCTATCTTCGATGGATACTCGAAGAACTCCGTTTGCCACAACAACAGCCAACCCCTATAATAGCAGACAATCATGGTGCTGTAAGAATGGCAAATGCTCACCAACCAACTCGCTGCACCAGACATGTAGAAATGAAACACTTTGTTATCCTACAATGGACAGATGATGAACATATCCAATATATAGAGACCAAATCAGATGAGAACTACAGTGACTCACTGAGCAAACCAACAGGAAGAACTAAATTCCACGAACATACAGATATCTTTATGGGTCGACTGAAACCAGATTATTCATATCCCCATCTGGATACTCCACCAAAGCCTACCCCAGCCCCCGTAACCAACAGAGTACAGATAAACCCATATTACATCATGTGCTCCACTTGCAGTCTCGATCCTTTACAAGATTTGCTCTTGAATACCAAAATTGCAAATCAAATAAAGTGATTCATGCAAGTCTCGATTCTGCAAGTGCGGGGAGGTGTGAGCACTAAAACACCGTAAAACGCAAGCAATCACGAGTAGATAGTGAGTGAGCACAAATAACGCGCAACCACTCACTCTTTATTGTAAACACCTAGTTATACGACACTAAAGAGCATACGTACATTTCGCACTGACAACGTACTCCTATTGTTTTATCGTACACTACGTACGTACCAGGTACTCTATACATTTGTACGCGGCGACGAAACCGCAATTTCAGGAAAGTACAAATTTAGTCGCTTTACGTCTTCAATGCAATGGGATGTGTCGAATTTTGAATTTTCCATGACCGATGATCCGGGCCAATGACTCCGAACTCGGGATTCGTACCAGTACGTACTATTCGGCATTCGGCATTGGATGGGGTCACCAACCACCCTTATGCTGTACCTGTACGAAGTAGAAGTACTACGTACGCAACGGGTGCCTCGTAATGGATAATGGATTGAGGAGTATTTTTTGCGTACAGTGTGTACATACGTACCGGTATATCGTATCTTTTCCCAAACCATTTCTCTGTTCTCGTACGAGTACTCGTATCCGTAGGTACTCGTACCAGTTCGTGCCTCCTACCTTGGGGAACGGGAGCGGAGAAAGCGAACCCTCTATGGCCAATGCCAACCTGCACCTGAATCAAACAAGCACAACACAATCTAACGCATATCATCGGATTAGCACCCCAACGCACAATAAATTACAGTACCGCACCATTCCAACCACGACCGCCATGGCCGAAACCACCACCTCCGACGTCCTCCCCCTKCTCCAGGTGCTGGCGCTGCTGGCACTGGCCGGCAGATACGACAACCATCTCTGGCGGATGATCTTGCTGGTGGCCCAGTACGTTTTCTTGGGCGKGGGCCTCTCCGGAAGCGGTCCGTTCCTCTGGGCTCTGTACGCCCTGGTCGGCRCCGGGATCTGGTGGATGCCCCATTCGGCCAACCGAAGGCCCCGGYYGAAACGCGGCTGCGTCTTTGTGACGGGCTGCGATTCCGGAATGGGCAAGGAGACCGTCCTCGGGCTGGCCCGGGCCCAGTGCCGCAAGAGCCGTAGCGGCCAGGACGACGACGAACCCAGCAGCAACAGCAGCAGCAACAGCAACAACCCCGACGGCTACGACCAGATCTTTGCGGGCTGCTACGATCCAAAGCACGCGAGGGCGGTCTACGAAAAGGAGCTCTCGGAGRAAGAACTGGCCTGCGTCACCCTCGTGGCGCTGGACGTGACGGACCAGGACAGCGTCCGCGAGGCGGCGCACAAGGTCCGCGAATGGATCTACGAGCACCGCCAGAAAAAGGCGGCGCCCGGAGAAACGGTGGTCGGCCTCTCGGCGCTCGTGCAGTTCCACGGCGTCGCCTTCAACGGGCCCTCGGAGTACATGCCGATCGAGATGTACACGCGCCAGCTCGACGTCAACTTTGTGGGGACGATCCGGGTGGTCCAGGCSCTCCTGCCCCTGCTCAAGGAGAGCAGCGGCGGCGGCAACGGCTACCGCTCCCGGATCGTTCTGACCGGGACCGGCGGGGGGCCCTGCAGCCCCTGCCCGCCCCTCCTGACGGCCTACATGAGCAGCAAGTTCGCCCTGGAGGCCTACGCGCAGGCCCTCCGGCAGGAGCTCTACATGATCGGCTCGAGCATCGACGTCGGGGTGATCAACCCGGGCTTTGTCAAGCCGACGATGCTCATCGCGGAGGGGACCAAGATCTCGGAGGGCATGTGGCGGTCCTGCGCCACCCGGCTGGGCTCCAACCGGGCCAGGGACGAGTACGGGGCCATGCTCAACCACTTTACCGAGTACTCGGCGCTCCAGCCCGGGACGCACGTCTCGAAGATCGTGGAGGCCACCGAGCACGCCCTGCTCTCGCCGGTCCCGAGGTCCTCCTACAAAGTGGGGATCGACAGCAAGCTGGCGCCGATCGTCGGGATGATGCCGACGGGGGTCCGCGAGTGGATCGCCCGCCACGGGATCTACGGCAAGCTCAGCCCGGCCGGGACGGTTCCCGGCTACAGGGTATAGCTCTTGCGCGTGCGATGCGTATATCGAAACAATTTGTGTATGGATGCATGCATGGATGCATGCATGCATGTATCTATGTATCCCACCTTGCAGACTGCAACACTCCGGGCACCCGCACACCCATCGTGGTGGAATAATATTCGAACATCACAGCGTACTATACGAGACGGTGAGTGTGCCAGACTGCCAGACCGCTAGTCACTTCACCGATTCCAGTTCTAGTATGTTTACAAGCACGATTTYGTAGTGTGTAGTTAGCTACCGTAGGGTTGGATACGACTTCTACCAAGACATCGCGCGGTGTTGTCATCGTTTGTATAACTGTTCATGTTGTCACAGTTCCCAGCATCTATTTGAATGCATCGTCCCTGTATACATACGGTATGGCATCCATAGTCCGAATCCCACAGGACGGGTTGGTGTTGTTAGGCTCACAATTTCAACCCAGCGGATGAATCTAGTATGTACGGTGAATATCTAACGCATTAAAAAAAKAACCTACCGGTACCATACTCTACGTAGTACTGTTTTACAGTAACTCTCAACTGGAAATAAGTCATTTTCATTGAGATGCTACTTCTACTTCCATTAAGCCAGTGCGCAAAAAATGATCGAAAACGATTGTGACCCATTCAAAACTACGTGTACGGTACGTACTGTACTGTACTGTACTGTACTGTGCGATGTGCATTAAGAAATACAGTATCTTCACGGTAGAAAATAGTTCGAATTCGAAAGTCATGTGCAATACGCCCTCCCTGCAGCAAGTAGAAAAAAAAGATAACGWACGATACAGTAGACTCTGCACCGCAGATCAAACACATCAGTAACACACAAGGGTTCGTATCGAATAATCGAATAATCATCCATAAATCCATAAACGTTTGGTACGCACATCCCTTTCAAGCAACGCATAAGCAATAAGCAACGAATTGTTTCGCAACCTTGCGTTACGGTCCAACACATTACTCGTACCTAGCAACACAGATCTCTCAGACAAGTAGACCGACACTCCTACGACTACAACAATAAACAGCTACCATCTGACTATTGAATCCAATCGAATCGAACGGGCAGGAACAGGATCAGTTGGATTCAACGCACRGACCCTTACCAAAAACGTGCCACAGATCGAAAGTCGGCGTTGACTCACGGATTCTCTTCCGGCAGTAAACAGCTCCAGAGGAAGCCGTTGTAGATCTATACCTCATCGCACCGCATTTCTATCGGTGCAACGCATTCGGTATGTTTTCCACCGCGGGGACAACGGCGGCGATGGCGTGGAGGCTTCGTCCGGCGGTGGCTTCTGTTTCCATCCCATCTCTGGTAGCAAGATCACTGGGAACAGCGAGCGGCACCAGCGGGGGCCGCATCTTCCGCGGCCCCTGCCGCAGTTCAAACGCAGCACCCGTCGTTGCCGGCCAACACCACCACCGCCATTCCATCGAAACGACAGCGCGACTGCCCCTTGCCGGGGGGAAAGCCCTGCGGTGGTTCGGACCATCTCCAGCCCGTCCGGAGCAGCAGCGGGGACAGCGACCCCAAAAGCCGTCCCAGACCAAGCCCCGCGTGGTCATTCTCGGCACCGGATGGGGCGGTCACATGCTTGCCAAGCGGCTCGACAAGACCAAGTTCGACGTGCGGGTTGTGTCCCCGGCCAACCATTTCTTGTTTACACCGCTGCTTCCCTCCACCGCCGTCGGAACTCTGGAGTTCCGGGCCATCCAAGAACCCGTCCGGACCATCGATGGCCTCGGCGAGTACTACCAGGCCAAGGCCATCGGGCTGGACAAGGACAAGAAAGTTGTGTACTGCGAAGACTTGTTCAAGAAGCACCAGTTCCCCGTCCGGTACGATTATCTGATGGTGGCGGCCGGYAACAAAACCAACACCTTTAACATACCCGGTGTCGCGGAGCACGAGGGCGTTGCCGTCCTCTTTCTCAAGCACCTGTACCACGCGCGGCTGATCCGGAACCGGATCCTCGAGTGCTTCGAGCGGGCCTCCAACAACAACGTGCCGCCGGAGGAGCGGTCCCGGCTCCTCAACTTTGTGGTGGTGGGCGGCGGTCCGACCTCGTGCGAATTCACGACCGAGCTCTACGATTTCATCCACGACGACGTTTCCAAGTGGTTTCCCCACCTCAAGGAAGAAATCAAGGTGACGCTGGTGGAGGCCGGCCCCGGCCTGCTGGGGAACTTTCACCAATCTCTCTCGGAGTACTACCTGAAGAACCTGCGCAAGCGGAGCGTCGACGTTCGGCTCAAGACGGCCGTGACCGGCATCATCGACCGGAGGTTCCCCCCCGAGTCYAACGTGCGGGTGGAGGAGGGAGGAAAGTACCKGGGCCGAAAGTACACCGTGGCCACCTTTGACGACGGGACCGAGCTCCCCTTCGGGATGATGGTGTGGTCGGCGGGCCTCGCCCCCGTCAAGTTTGTGGAGGATTCGGGGCTGCCCCTCGAACGGGGCCGCATCAAGGTGGACGGCTACCTGCGGGTGCCGGACACCAAGGGACGGATCTTTGCCTTTGGGGACTGCGCCCTTGTCGGCGAGGGGCTTCCCCCCACGGCCTCGGTCGCCGAGCAGCAGGCCTACTACCTGAGCGACGCCTTCAACAAGTACTACTCGGACTTTGACGCCCTCGATCCTTCCAACAACGACACGGAGGTCCCGCCCCCGGGGCCGATCGTTCCGGCCCTGCTTCCGTTTGGGGGCTTCCCCTTTGAAACCTTCAACAAGTTCCTTACCAAGCCGGCCCCGGAATTCCAGTACATGAACCGTGGGTCCATGGCGGTGATGGGATTCGGCGGCGGCGTCAGCGACCTTACCAGCACCGACATGCCCCTGCCGAAGGTCGCCGTGAGCGGTGCGGCGGCCTTTGTGGTTTGGAGGTCTGTGTACCTGAGCAAGCAGCTGAGCTACACGAACTTTATCCTGAGTGAGTAGTACCGTGGCGTAGCAAGCCAGTCTGGTATTGCAACAAGCGATCCAGTCCAGTCCAATTCAGTCGAATCCAATCCATTTAGTCCGAATGGAATGGATTGGAATACCATCATGCGTTGCCTCTCGTTCGAAACGGGACCGATGCGATCCGGGTCTACTATTGCTATACCGCCGACTCACCCTTTTTGTTGTGTTCTTCCTTTCTTTTTGTTTCTCGGTTCTGTCTCTGGCAACATGGCATACGACACACGAAACGCAATACTAATACAACACCCAACAACTCCTCTAGTTCCCATGTATTGGTTCAAACAATTCGTCTTTGGAAGAGATATCAGTCGGTTCTAATTATGGATTTCATTGGACCTTTGATGACTGCCCTACACAGGGGAACAGCAAAAGTGTTTCTCGGGATTTGAATCTTCCAACATGTCGATTCGCGATCAGGATTGTCCCTGCAAGGATTTGTTAAAATTTCAAATACAATGGCACAATGCTACGTAGCAGTTTTCTAAAAGATACAAAGCTTAAATAATTCCACACAGAACAACCGACAAGCTATTTCTTTGATTCCTCGTGCTTCAAGTTGGCTCTCACAATGTCGTACCACTTCTGGTCCTGTTTCTCGGTTAGTACAAGGGGCCGGAAGGCCGGATCCAGGGGTGTCTCCTTGCTGGCATCTGCTACGCTCTTCGGCCGATCGGGATAGGCCGGTGTGCCGCACTCCCGGTTGGGCTTGTTGTAGTCCTGAAAGCAGCCGGGCTCCCCGAACAGGTGGGCGTGTTCCGGCAGGGCCGCCACCACCGGGTTGATAAAGACCTTCAAGGTGGTAAATATATGTTGGGCGTTGAAAGGCTGCCCGTTCACGGGGAAGGTTGTGTTAGCGCGTTTCTCCTTAATGGCGATTGCCCTGATCTCATTGGTGAGCTCTGGGGAGTACTTGAACCCATAGGTCTCGTACTTCCGGATCCACCACTCGTTCTTGTGGACCTCGACGTGGTGCCAGCCACCCCAGGTGCTGCTCGAAACCATCAGGATCGCTGCCTTGCGAAAGGCCGAGACGTAGTTGAAGTGGAACTGTAGGTTGACGTGCTCCAGGAACTCTACCGACCAGACGGCGTCGAAGGTCTTCTCCGGCCACCAGGGACCGCGCGAAAAGTCGTGTTCCACGAGCAGGGACTTGTCCGGCACCATGTTCTGCTCGATGGCATCGTGGCTCCCCTCGGCGCACTGGGTTCGCAGGCCATGGGTGTAGAACCACGAGGTCGAGGTTCCCTTGCCGCAGCCCACGTCCAGGACGCTCTGGACGGTCCACTTTTCCACCATGTGCTTCCAGACGCTGGGAGAGATTCCGTGCATGTCGATATTCGTAAAACCGCCCAGGTGCTTCCCGTCGCCTTTGCCACCGTAGATCTTGCGATCGGCCTCGAGTTTCTTGTCCTCGACACGCACCGAGGGGAGGTTTGGGGCCTGGCCCTTTCGGATGGAGAGGGGATTGATGATGTCRGACTCTGWGACAATGGTGGAAGCAACCGAKTTCGCAGATTCCTGAGAAGCAAGTCCCTCGAGGCYCGTGGGCCGGTTCCATATCGCCTGGCAGAGGAGGGCGAAGCAGATCATCACGGTCACCTGAAAGGAGGAAAACCCGCCCTTGCTTCCGCTTTTATTGCGGGCCATGGYAAGAATTGATTTCTTCTCTCTGGAACTATTGGATGCTGCGATACCGAAGGCACGAAAGCGCTTGGTRTTGAATGATTTCCGTAGTGACAACTATTGGCAACGATACCGATACCATGCCATGGGACACTTGGTTGCACACTATGGATTGGATTCGCTTCGAAGCGTCCTTCATTTCAACAATCCTGAGTACGTACTCGCAGTACAACTTTGTACGAGTTTTCCTACCTTCAACGGTTCCGCTTTTGTGCAAAAGCCAGTAAAATTACCGTACGGTACTTGTACTGTACGCTGTAGAATACACTGTGCAATTTTTTCTGGGATGACCGCGGAAAAATAAAATCATCTTCTGTCCCAAAAACAGAGATTACCTGTAGGCAAGAAAAAAACAAGTAGGATCTCAATTTTGTACTGAATCCGTACTCGTACCCTAACTGAGCCTTGGAGGAGGACCCTGAATCACGAATCGCTACTAGTGTACAACAAAACACATAAACCCTGTTACGTACGGTACGTCCCCATAGAGAGAAATCTGACCGTTAGGTATTGTTATTTAACCCCATTCCCAGTCWTAATCATAAGAAACGGCAGTTGCTAGAAAAGTACAGGTACGTACGTATGGTACTGGTACAGTCATTTGAAATCTAGCTATTGTACGTATTATATGGTACATATCATTAGTACGTACATATGAAGTACCGTACGTAGTACTAGAGTACGAGTATTTCACTTCTACGAAGTGAAAATACGAGTCGTAGTATCTTCGATTTTTTGAAACATGCACCACATACCACACACCCTCCTGAATCGTGGGTTAGAAAATCCTGCATACAGTTACATGTGAGTAATACCTGTACTACGTACTGTACGTTTTGTACTACTCGTTCTCGTTCAGGTGCCAAAGGATACGATACGTACTACCGTACAGTATTTTCAATGGCGCACGATTGCTTCGCTTCATCAACATCRAAAGGATTTGCTCCGTTGGAAACCGCCTGAGAAACAAACAAATAATATTACCATCATAAATTACGAACAGCTGGAATGAAACAACACCATTCACAAGGAGAAAGAAAACAACAAAAACGAAACATGATGACAGAAACAATACAAGATATGGTTGCAAAGTGTGCGCCATGGGAATCGAACGACGTCGATTTCATGGATCAACAAGAATATCTGATCTCATTGCTTTCGACTCGGAGAGAGGACTCWAGCAATMACAGTAACAATAACAGTGAGGAATTGTTGCAAATCGTCGATCAGTTTTTTGAGAGTCCAGAACACTCGCAGCAATTASTAGAACTCTGGAWAACATCCTTCGATGTAGCYATCGTTGAAAATAGTGRTAGTGATAGCGACACTGGCACTACYACCGCCATCACAAAGTTGGGATTGGTAGATGCAGGTTCCARAATAGATGCAACAACGATTGGCAGCGAAACGCAATCGGTGTCGTTGRCAGAAGACCCACGCAACATCAAAGACAAACAGAACCAAAAAACTACCCAGAGGCGCACGACYCGCAACAAGGATCGGAGCAACCGGAAAAAGAAGTCCCGATCCCCTCGTGGCAGAAAACCCGAAACAAACCGAACASACCACACCGGCGAGGGACGCGATGGAAACGAAAACGAAAACGAAAGCCTCCGAGAGGCCGTGTCGAGGATCCACGATGCCTCGAACCTCGACCTAGACGATACCGACGATTTCGCGACCGCCTGGAGGGATGCGCAGGATGCCGGGCGTGTCTGGGGCGGCAGGGGTTACGGCGGCCGCGGGGTCAACCGGGGGCTCGGGACCTACAAGGGCAGGGACGCCGTGGTGGACGGCCTCACCCTCTTCTTCAGCGGGAGAGAGCTCCTCAGCAGAACCCACCTGGTGGTCGCCAACGGTCACCGGTACGGCCTCTGGGGAAAGAACGGGGTCGGAAAGTCCACCCTTCTGCGCAGGATCGCCACCGGCAGGKTGCCCGGTTGGCCCATGCACCTCAGCGTCAGGATGGTCGGGCAGGAGGTCCTSGGTACGAGCAAGACGGTTCGGGAATGCATGCTCGGAGTCGAGAGCATCAAACACGGGAACACCCGAAGAAWGATGCTAGAGGAGGAACTGGCAAGCATGGAAACCCAGCTGGCAACACTCGTCGACGAGAACGATGCCGAGGCCCTCGAGAAGTTGTCCGAACAAATGTCGGAACTCTACGAGGAGCTAGAAGATATCGAACGGACCGAAGTAAAGAAGGAGGAGAGGAAGAACGAGTYGAGTGGCGAGGGAGCTGCCTCGCGACGAAAGTTGTTCGCGGGGTTCGAGGAKTCCGCCGTAGCCATCCTCAGGGGGCTYGGGTTCGAGGGCTCCATGCTGGACACCCCYGTCGACCACCTMAGTGGGGGTTGGCGAATGCGGGTTGCCCTCGCCGAAGCCCTCTATTTCAAGCCGGATGTTCTTCTCCTGGACGAGCCGACCAACCATCTAGACGCCTCGGCCATTGTGTTTCTCGAAGACCACATCCTGGAGCACGATGTCACGCTGGTCGTAGTATCCCACGACGGGCACTTTCTAGATGCCGTCTGCACGGACATGATCAAGTTCGAAAACCAAAAGCTCGAGTACCACGTCGGGAACTTCTCGACCTTCCGACAAAGGGAAGAAGAGCTGTGGGCCAAGAACCGGAGCATCGCAGACGCAACCGCCCGGAAAGAAAAGAAAGCCATGGAATTCATCCAGAAGCAAAAATCCATGTCCAACAGCAAGCGCCGCGACGACAACAAGCAGCGCCAGGCAAGGGAACGGGAAAGAAAACTGGGACGCATCGGTCTGTACAGCGAAAACGGCAAGAAGTTTAAGCTGTTGGCCCAAGGAAGGGGGTGTGTCGGGGTCAACCGGGCCAACCACATCCAGGGCAGCTATACCAACACGGCGGGATTTTCGTCGGCTTTTGTGAATAATTCCGGGACGACATTCGGGGAGCAGCACCAGCTACTGAATTTCCGGTTTCCTTCCGCGCCGCCTCTAAAGGGAGCGACCGCAGAACACGCCCCGCTCATCACGATGGAAAACTGCCGGTTTCGGTATCCACCAACCTCCTACAGCGACGACAGCGAAACGCACAACACAGATCCCCTGTTGAGGGACCTGACCCTGAGTGTTTCGGTCGGGAGCCGCATCGCGATTCTCGGCAAGAACGGATCCGGAAAATCCACGCTCCTAAAGCTCCTGTGCGGAAAACTCGCTCCGGACAAGAACGGTGGAACGCTTCGCTTCCATTCCAACAACCTGAAGATTGCCTGCGTTTCCCAGCACCACATCGAGCAGCTCGGGTCTTTCCTCGGTCAGAGCCCGGTCGAGTACCTCCTGGGCCAATCGGAGGGAAGGGACAACGGCTGCAAGAACGAGTTCGAGGCCCGGCGGTTCCTTGGGGGGTTTGGCCTCTGCGGCCCGCTCGCCCTCCAGCCCATCGGGACCCTGAGCGGGGGCCAGAAGGCCCGCCTGGCCTTTGCCTCCGTTCTGTGCGGGGATGCGCCACACGTGCTGGTTCTGGACGAACCGACGAACCACCTGGAYGGGGACAGCCTCTCGAGCCTCTCGGAGGCCCTTTCCGACTTTGGGGGAGCCGTGGTGGCGGTCTCCCACCACCAGGGGTTTTTGTCGGGGATTGCCAGGGAGGTCTGGACGGTGGGGGACGACGGGACGGTAGGGGTGGAAAGGGTTGCCTCCGCAAAAGAAGACGACCGATCGTCCCAGCAAAGCGACTTTGACGATCTCTACGCTCGCTATAGAGAAGGCCTGCGGAGAGAATCGCGGGGAACGCGAAACCGGACGCGGTAGCGAGAGGGAACGGAACGACGGCGAGAAGAGAGATGCTGCACCCACAAAAGAGTATTTGCTAGCAGCCAGATACGCTACAGGCGCTTATGTGCTATTTTAAGACGAAAAAAAATTAAATCGACGCATCTAAACCATTAAAATACAGTATTCGGCTAGTTTGTGTTTTGTGTTGTACCGCCGTCCGAAGCTTGCTTTGGGATGTTCTTGTCTAGCTCTTGCATCGAAGCACGGCACAACGATAGATCCCAGATGTCCCTTGTCTCCGATTGCTGAAAAGGACGTTTTCTGCAAAAGGATACATCGTGTGGTGCACCACATCGCCTGCAAGTCCTCCGAACGAGCACTGTTGCCTTGCATTGCTTGCTTGGCATTGTAGTGCGTTGCGATGCGTTGTGGCCAACTCCGGCTGCTGTGTCGCCGAACGGAACCAAACGACGCAACAAACTGCACGGACGAAACGTTGCGTCTCCGACTGTCCTCGGTCTGGTGGTGGCTGCCGGCCCTCAGCGGACCACCTGCGGCGTGGGTGGTGGTCCAAACACCGCACCCACCAGTTGCTCCGCCGGGCTCAGGGGCGGGAGCTCAAGAATCGAGGATTCCGTGCCTCCTCCGCCGTAGTAGTAGCCGCTTGCGGTTCTTCCGTCGTCGAGAATCCCCCTGAGCGCCAGGAATGTTTCGACGTCAAAGCCCCCGACCAGGGGCCAGAAGGAGACAAAGGCGAATGCGATCGCGAGCACCGCGATTCCCGCCGAGAAAAGTACAACCGCCGCTTTGGGTACAGGTGGTTCGAACGGACCAATCTTCTTCGCAGAGACATCGACGCCGGCGCTCTTTGTGTGGGTGGTGGATTGGGAAGCGGGTGCAGATGCAGCTGTTTCTTCGCCATTCTCTTCCTCMGGAAACGGGAACCAGCATTCGTTGTCGTCGTTGTCGTCGTGTCCGCCGTCTCGTTTCGCACCGCAAGCGATCGTCCTCCGTCCCGGACAACAAGCCGCGCTTGCTCGAAAGCATGGCCTGCCGTGTTGGAAACGATCGGAGAGTGTCACCGAAACGACTCCTGTTTCCGTTGCCGTTTCCGGGGACGAACCAAACAACGAGTTGCTGTTGCGGTGGCAGCTGTATTGATTCGCTCCGTGTCGAGACGAGGAGGACAGAAGAAGACCTTCGGCTGTTCCGCATAGGAAACCGAAAAGCAGCAGCAGCGGTTGCCACCCCAACGCATGCGTGTCGGGGGCTGCTACTCGCGTTATAAGTATCGACATGGTCCACACCGGCCGCTTCCGAAAGACAGCCACTCGGGAAMCGTCTGTTRCGGATGGAACAGAATCTGTTTACCGGTAGTGTAGTTTTTGATCGTGTTCTTTTCTTCCCATGGTTACGGATCATTGGTATGTAAGATGTGATTCAACTGTGGCGTTCCGTGGTASTGCGTCACAGGTGATCGCGAGGTCATTTTTTATTTTTTAGAACGATTTTGGCGTTAATTTAGAGTTCGGGTTAATCATGTTCGAACTAGTCACACCAGTCTTCACAGAAAAAAATTGAAGATTTGACCCACCTTCCCTCCCAAATGAAAATCTTTGTTCCTCTTGGACCTTTATTCATCATAGAAATCACCATCATCGTCTGCTTCCGCCAATAAGAATTGAATCTGTGCCAAACGAAG